CCCCCTTTCCCCATTACTTTGAAGTATTTTCTACAAACAAAACCAAGAAAAAAAGGAAGTGTTTTCATCCGTACACTTCACAGGCTTTAAAGAAGCCAAGGTCAAAGCTTACCTCACCGTGGAGCTGTTACTGACCTAAATTGTAAGCGGACCGTGTTGTTTCCAGCTATAAAAGAATTCTAAATTCTGTTAATGAGATGCAAAGTTCTTCCAGTGTTAGAAATAAAAGATGAGCCGGGGTGCACCACCCTGGTGTGTACTTCCGTAAATCACATACAGTAGAAGTGAAGCACATCCTTAAGCTTTTTTTCTGCATCACATATGCTTAAAAATAGTGCCCCAATAAAACTTGAAATACCTGAAAAGAATTTTAAAAAATCACAATGCATGCTCTTGGCAAAGGGATTTTCAATCCTCAGAGTCTTAGTTGCATTCGATTGTTCATCCTACTATCATTCCTTTAAGAGTAAAAGAGTTTACAATTCACACATACATGAAAGCAAATACGGCTTAGATCGAAAAATGTTTATGCATAATTGTCTATTTTTCATTTATGTTCTAGAAAGGGAGAACAGAAGAATGTTTGGTACCAGACAACATCATCTTGAGAATATCCCAATTATATTCAAGCATTAGCAAAATCAGTTAAATGTACACAGACTCCTAGACTTTAAGGTCAGAATGCAACTATGTGCATGTAAATGTGCGTGAAACTTGCCTAGCGACATCAGGTTTAAGGCCAGAAGAGGCCATCAGATCATATCAGGTATATCACAGGCCACCCACACACTAAACCCAATAACCAAAATGAGACCAAAGTATTACAGCCCACAGGAGACTGAACTATTCATGTGCTACAGGCAGAGAAATTGCAGCAAGGGCAGTTTAGGTTGGACATTAGGAAAAACTTCCTAACTGTCAGGGTGATTAAGCACTGGAACAAATTGCCTAGGGAGGTTGTGGAATCTCCATCATTGGAGATTTTTAAGAGCAGGTTAGACAAACACCTGTCAGGGGAAGACTAGATAATACTTAGTCCTGCCATGAGTTTAGGGGACTGGACTAGATGACCACTCAAGGTCCCTTCCAGTCCTATGATTCTATGATTCTAACTCTTTTCCCATGTAGAGCATAGGTCTTAGAGTCAGATATTCTGAATACTCTTCCTGGTACTGTGAATGAATTGCATGTATGACCCCAACGCACATGGGAGTTCATCCTGTAAGGTGTTGACCTTCTATAAGAGCTCTCAACATCTCACAGGATTGGACCCTGAATTTCTCTGTACATCAATCTGTAAAATGAGGATAAAAATACTTACCACTGGCACCGTACCTACAGTACCATAGTTCTTGAAAGACAGAATATTTGTCAAATACTTTCAGCTCCCTAGAAAGGTGCTATGCATGAGCATTGTTATTAGTCTCTCTATGTAATGAATGGGAGGAAAATATATAGATTAAAGATGTACATTTCTCCAAATACTAATCCAGTCTAGGGATTTATTTGATTTTTCACTGTTATGTTTAAAAGCCACGTCCGCCACCATTCCAGGTGCAGAATATGTAATGAAGATAACGGAAATTTGTATTAAATAATAATGGCCGGATGTAGTCCAAAGACGGTAACCAAATGAAAACGTTAGAAGGTATTTGGTTGTAACAATATTTGAGAATGTTCTTAATCTTTGCTGCCCAGACACAATTTATTTTTAATTACATTTGCTTTGAAGTTGAGCTGTTTGAACATTTTTCACAAAAACCACTGAGTTTCCAATGAAAAATACTATTGAATTTTTTTAACCAGCTCTGAAGCCTGGCAAAAAAGCAAAAGAAAATTTTGGAAAAAATTCTGACCTTTTTTTTTTTTTTTCCGGCTGACGTCTGAAATTTTGTCAAGATTGTGAATTTCCATAATTTTAAGACATCCCTGTGTTGGAGGAAGGAACTGTGTTTTCTTTTTGTTTTTTACTGTGAGGCTGAGCTGTTTTTTGGCCCACCTTGAAACTACAGTACACACCAACAAAACCCTTAGGAAAACTTAAAGACCCTCCCCTAACTGAAAATACATGTGGTCTTCGCTTGGGTGGCACAGTGGATTGACTCATCCAGAGGAAAGTTCAGCCTGCTCAAATCCCACCGCTGACACATAGCATGGTGGAATGAAGTAGTCTAACTACGGTCACTGTGTAGGCACCACTGCATCCTATGTTGGTTCATCTTCTCTGTTCTTTGGGTGCTCCATAGTAGACTGTATTACTTTACAGTTGAGACGGTGCTTGGCTCCCCCTTTCCCAATCACACGCAAGGGCTTCCTCCCACTCCGATTGCTCAAATACATGAACATTTGAATACCTGGCCTCGCAGGTTCAGTTCCCAGTGGAGTCAACTTGGTTATTTAGCTTTCCATGGTAGATTGTTCACCATGCCATCTTTGATATCGGGTGTGGGGAGGGTGTTTTCTAGGGGAGATGCTAAAAACCAAGGTGCTGGACATCTGCTCTATGTTAACAATAAATATCCCATGGCTCTTTTTGTACGAGTAAGGATTAAACCTAATAGCTTTGGCCAAATTTTCCATTCCCCCATTTCAAATGTGCTGTGCACTGTCCTTCATTCGATCTCAAGGGGAGTCATGTTTCGGGGGTACTCTGTTTACACAGTACCAGTTGCTGCAATTTTTGGCGTGTTGAGTAACACTCAGCTGAAGTCAATGAGATGAGCATCGGTAACTACTACACAATCCGTGTAAGTATTTCAAAAATCCGCTCCGTGGATTGCACAGCAGTTTGGGATCCTTTGAGATGAAAGGAGCTATAGATCGGGCATAAGGAATAAGAAGTGAACAGCCAGCCGGCCATCCTAACAAATAATTTACAAAGTAATGGGATGGGCCTGAGATACGGAGTTCAAATATGGATCTGAACGCCTTCAAAGACCAGGGTGTTTAGCTTCAGGGTTTTGACATAACATGTTACAGTGACTGGGGCCAGGCACATGGTTTGGATCTGGACTTCCCCAAACTCTGCATCTGCATGATCTACTGGTTAAGAATTAGATAAGTTCATGGAGGATAGGTCCATCGATGGCTATTAGCCAAGATGATCAGGAATGCAACCCCATGCTCTGGGTATCCATAAGCCTCTGACTGCCAGAAGCTGGGAGTGGATGATGGGAGATGGATCACTCGGTAATTGCTCTGTTCTGTTCATTCCCTCTGAAGCATCTGGCATTGGCCACTGTCAAGAGACAGGACCCTGGCCTAGATGGACCATTGGACTGACCCAGTATGGCCATTCGTATGTTGTTAACACACTGGACTGGGACTCAGGAAATCTGGATTCAGTTCCTAGCTCTGCCACAGTTCCTAACTCCTGTGTGTCTTTGGCCAAGTCATTTCGGCTCTGCTTCGGGGAACAATCCCTCTTCAGGGCAGCACTTAAACGTGTGTGTGAGGGCTTTCCTGATCTGGGACCTAAAATATCTCCTGGCCTCAGTTTGTACCTTTTGCTTATGTGCTGTCTCCCCTGCTCCCCACTTTTGTCTGGTCTATTTAGTTTGTAAGCCTTTCAGAGCAGGAAGTCTCTCTGATGGCTAGTCAACACGGTGTCCTACACAATTGAACCCGACTGCTGTAATTAAAATAATAATAGATGGGGGTTGGCTCTGGCCAATTTCCAAACCTAATGAAACCTCCAAGCTCCTACATGTACAATCCTTGTGTTTTTATTTACCAACTGGGGGTGAGGGGAAACTTTTGGCTTGATTTATTTCTTAGTAAAAGCACTGATAAGAGTCATCAAAAGGAAGGAAGAATCCTAAGGTCTATTTGACATTATTTATCCCCATCGTCTTGCATTCATTCCATTCTAAAACGAAAGCAGGAGAATAGTTATACTGAGAGATTGCAGAAACCCTGTGCTTGTATTGAAGGATTAAATCAGTATGTTTGTGACATAACATGCAATGACTTGCCTAACATGTAATGAAGAAATTGAAACTGAATCTCTCAGTGCATCATGCTGAGTAAAGGGTTTGTTCAACAAGAAACTGTCGTATTAAATTCTTGTCGTGATTCCAGACCGCTTTTGAGTCCTAAATCTTTTGAAGGAGACTAATCTGAAATCAAAGCAAAGTTGCTTAGGGTTGGCATGCCAGAAGTGGTCACATTTGAACAAGTTCAATGAACCTGCAGAGAGAGGTTGAAATTAGTTGCTTCACTACAAAGCTTACAGCTCACCTACCTGCTGATTGGCTTGTTGCTTTGATTCTTTATGCTCTGTCTTCTTGGCTTCTTCTGAGTCGGTTTCAAAACGTATAAATCTGAAGTGGGAGCTTGTCCCGATTTCAGTATTTATTTAATAAAAAATAAATCGGTCTGCACTGTTTAGTACAACATTAAAACAAACATAGCTTTAGAAACGGGGCGTTCGGAAGGTTATGGATTTGTTTCTCCTCTGCCTCGCTCCTTGTGGAGTCGTTTTAATTTGCGCAAAGTGGGCGTAGTATGTTGCTCTTCTGATTTACCCGCCTTTTACTCTCGCTTGGCACATAAGTCAATGGCTACCCAAAAGGGACTCTGTCCCTTTAATTTTTTTAGTGGTAGAATGTGCCATACTAAAGGCCAGATTCTCGGCTGCTGTAAATTGACTTTGGTCCTTTGAAGTCACTGGAGTCATGCTGACTTATATCAGCCAAGAATCTAGCCTGCTGAATGCCAATTTCTATCCAATTCCTTTATGTTGTTGTTGGTATTTTCTGCTTAGAAAGGCTTTTACAAGCAAGAATAAGATGCAATACATGATACAAATGAGGACATTTCTCATGGGCTAAATTCTGTCCTTAGTTACAACCCCTCATCATTAATGGCTACCACGGTGAGACGGAGGGCATAATTTTTGGCTTGTTACGTTGAGAATAAATACCCTGTTTAGTTATTGGATGTATGTAACAATGTAGCCCTAACTGTATTAAAACTGTCTCATTGCTTTCCATTTCCAGTGTTCTGCTTCTTGTGGACGGGGACATAAACACCGAAATGTGTACTGCTTGTCAAAGGAAGGAAACCGCTTAGAGAACGATTATTGCAAGCACCTTGCTAAACCGAACGTGCAAAGAAAGTGCAGAGGGGGCAGATGTCCGAAGTGGAAAACGGGAGACTGGGGACAGGTGAGATGCAACATTTTACCTTTTGCACCATTAGCTGTTCCTTATCTGTTGAATTGTTTGCCAGCGTAATTTCAATCCTTTTGCAATACAAGTATAAATGTTCTGGGTGACATTCTCAGCTGGGGTAGATCGGCATAAGCCTCTGGAGATGCACTATCTACATCAGCTGAAGCCCTAGCACTGTTTTAGATACAAAAAGGTGGTGAACTGCTAACAAAAAAGCAACTGTTGTAAATTTCTTCGACTGCTGCTAGAAAAGGCATTACTGTGTATGAGTAAGCAGCCTCTCTTTTCTCCTTCTTCTTCTTTATTATTTAAAGACGTTGGCTCCTAAGTACAATTGTGATGAATTTGGAGGCATATGAAATTAAAATATGTTTATTTATCATTTTCCTATTAAAGTTGAGAAAATATATAGGAGCTATTTATTTTAAAACCTACTTTTCACTCTGTTTTGTGTTCTTCCAAATGCATTACACTGTAACAACAGCAGTTTACCTCCGTGTCAGTACAAAATCATCTGCTTAGTGCATAGGCTGCAGGAAAGTAGGAAAGTCTGGATTTTTCAAGTATGTTGTTTGCTGAGAGCATAACTTTAATCCATTTTGAGTCTTTATTTACATTGCTTTCCCCATATTAAACTATTGAGAAATATTTCAGGCATGAAAAATATCAGTTTGCTTTTCTCATCCTTTTTCCGCTAACACTGATAGTGGGATTTGGGTTTGGAAACTAAAATTTCATATTTTCCATAACACCAAATTGCACCTTTAACCTATTTAATCAGATTTATTTTTACCTCTGAATCTCCATTTTGCATGTACCTTAATGATGTGCTAATCAGTCAAATTATTGAAGATCCATAAGTAAATGAAATTTTAACTTGTACAATGTCATATTCATTCACAATCTTTCTTTGCTTTCTATGTGAAACCCTAAGATTCTTGCTGTATGCATCCTTCCCTAAAAGATAAAACATGAACACATCTATACATGCATTTGTGTAGACAAATATTAATATTAGTAGATACATTTTTATCAAATGTCAAATATTAAATTAAAAAACTATTAAATCCATCATTATTTTCAGACTTGGATTTTTTATTCTCCTCTTAGAATAAGTAGAATATGTGCTTTACAATATTTGAGTTTCTTTCTTGGAGAATGGGGTAATCATACATTCATCATACAGGTTTAGCTGTTTAGGCCCTGATCCTCCAAAAAATACACAAGTAGTTAACGTTAAGCACCCGAGCAGGCCTATTGAACTCCATGGGACTCCTCCCAGATTTAAAGTTAAGCCCGGTGCCTTATTGTTTGCAGTACTGAGGCCTTAATTTTGTCCCAGAGCCTACAAGAATAAAGAATCACATGACCATTAAAATGTCTCATCATATCAGATCTGCACTTTATTTAAAGTGACTGCTCCTGAAAGCAATTTTTGCAGCTAATAAAAGTCAACGTACCAACACAACGGTCTGTTGATTGCTTAAAAACATGCTAATTTTAATTGATAAAGATAAATGCTTTAAAATTCAAAACATTCTACTGCATGATAGGATTCAGTTTCATGCAATTTGAGAAAGAAGCTCAGCTTAATGAGAATATGAGGTGATTTATGGCCTAAAGTAATCTGTTATGACTAGGCAATTAAAGAATATTTGTATTCTTTATATACTATAGAGCATTGCCCGCGTGACCAGCTGAGGATCTGGCCCTAAAAATTAGCTATGAAAGCAAAGATGAAAATGCATCTTATAACAGCAAAATAGATCATTTAAAAATAATGATGTTATGATACTGTTTCCTTATATTCTGTCTGTAACACAGAGCCAGTCACCATATAGTAAATCGGCAGAGTTTGTCTACGTTTGATATAGTAAAACTGGAACAGTTAGAAGGTTTGAATAATGTCATGCCATAGTGACATGCATGTCACACTTCTAGAAGTGCCTTTTATGCTAAATACTTTTGGAGGTATACAAGTGATTTGTTTATAAACTGCTGAACAACAGTGGTTAAAATGCTTTCTCTGTATGATGCATCCTGAAGCCTGCTAAATAAAAAAGAAAAGCATAACTGGTCAACTGAAGTCAGCTTGGCCAGATCCCACACTGGTGTAAATCA